ACGGTGTTTTAGGAGCGAAGCTCCTTAAGGCGTGGGCTGTGCGTCCCCTGTATGTAGCCACCTCTCGTTCAGTTCTAAGTATTACGCTAGCCACCGCCCGATCTAAAGGGTACAGCCATATCCATCCGTCCATCCGTCCATCCGTCCGTCCGTCCATCCATCCATCCATCCATCCATCCATCCATCCATCCATCCATCCATCCATCCATCCATCCGTCCATCCGTCCGTCCGTCCGTCCGTCCGTCCGTCCGTCCGTCCGTCCATCCGTCCGTTCATCCGTCCATCCGTCCATCCATCCGTCCATCCGTCCGTCCATCCATCCGTCCGTCCGTCCGTCCGTCCAAAAGATGCAAGATGTTATAAACTAGACGGCGGTACGTGTAGTTGATTATGAAAGATGCGAGGTGTTATAAAATAGGAATGATGCCACATATGGCGCGTGTCATCGTTCGATATAGTGCGGCGACGTACGCTAGGGGGAGCGTTGCAATAAAATCGAGTGGGCAAAATGTACGGAGGATTCATGGTTTACCAGGTTTACCTCCGGAGCTTCGCCCACTCATCATCATTCACTTCGTGGATATGGCGGCATTTTTTTCTATTGCCAAGGAACTGGCTGCTATTTTCTTCATACGTGATTCATTTAGCACTCGCTGGTCTCTCGAACGTTATACTTAATATCGCAATTATGCTCAAAAGAATACAATTGCTAGCATTCGTATCAGTAAAGTTAGAAAATTGAGCGTTTTCAATCAATCAATCAATCAATCAATCAATCAATCAATCAATCAATCAATCAAGCTATCTCTCAATCATTGTACTTGTTTTTTTGTTTTTTTTACTAGTCAACAGAGAGGCAGCGGCTAGAGTCACATATACCTGAGAAAGGTTCCCAGCCCAACATACACTTCCAACAACGATGAGCATCCTTCTTTAGAGCATATTGCTCTTATGCATCAAGTATGCTCGCTAGAGTAAACACAAGGTGAACCCAAATTTAGACTATATCCTATTTTTATCCAAAGCATGTGAGTGCTGGTGCGCATATGCGCACACTTATCCGAAATGTGTCGGCGCACAAATATTTCTCTTTTTCATTTATACCGTCTTTCTTTCTCTCTATTTATTACTATTTTCTTGTTCCTATTGTTCACGTCATTCTCTATTTCTCGTTTTCTTCCTCTCTTTTATTTTAAATGTTAAGCCCTTCTTAGTAAACTTTGGTGACATTGAAGGCATCCATCCATCCATCCATCCATCCATCCATCCATCCATCCATCCATCCATCCATCCATCCATCCATCCATCCATCCGTCCGTCCGTCCGTCCGTGCGTCCGTCCGTCCGTCCGTCTATCTATCTATCTATCTATCTATCTATCTATCTATCTATCTATCTATCTATCTATCTATCTATCTATCTATCTATCTATCTATCTATCTATCTATCTATCTATCTATCTATCTATCTATCTATCAATCAATCAATCAATCAATCAATCAATCAATCAATCAATCAATCTATTCGCAACGACTTGCTCTCGGGCCGTTTCGATAATGGTATCGATACCAAAATAACGTCACTGTATGGCGAGCATAACTGACTAGTCAAAACATGAAAATCATGACATCTATGTCATGAAAATCATGATTTACATTTCATTGTCTTGCTGCTCTTGGGGTAGTTTCGTTCACATCACATATTGCAAACCTGGTGTGGTATGACATGCCTGCATGGCGAATATAAGTGACAGACACAATGGGGAAATCATAACATGCGTGTCATGTAAGTCATGACTACATGACCCGCTCATAGTGCGCTCGCGGTCGTTTCGCTATAGCTTCACATATACCAAATTTGGTATTACGGGACGTAAATGGATGACGAGTGTATAAGGCTGCTGAAAATATGATAATCATGAAATGCATGTCATGTTAGAACATGACTACATGCCACGCTCAGGATGCGCTCGCTGCCGCTTCGCTAGCTTCCCATGCACCAAATTTGGTACTACGTGATGGACGACAAAGGCAAATGACATGTCCAAACATGATAATCATGACATACATGTCATGTAAAACATGACTATATTCTACGCTCATAGTTCACTCGCGGTCGTTTGGATAGCTTCACATATACCAAATTTGGTGTTACGTGACGTCAATGGATGACAAAGGTATATGACTGGCGGAAACATAATAACCATGGCAAGCGTGTCATGTAAGAACATGCCTACATGCTACGCTCATGATGCGTTCGCGTGCGTTTCACTAGCTTCACATATACCAAAGTTGGTATTACGTGGCGCGAATGGTCGACGAAAGTAAATGACACGTTCAAACAAGATAACCATGACGTGCGTGTCAGGTAAAACATGACTATGTAGACATGCTACGCTTTTAGCGCGCTAGTGGCCGTCACGCTAGGTACACATATACCAAATTTGGTATCACATGCCTTGCCGCGGTGGTCTAGTGGCTAAGGCACTGGGCTGCTGACCCGCAAGTCGCGGGATCAAATCCTGGCGGCGGCGGCTGCATTTTTGATAGAGGCGAAAATGCTGTAGGCCCGTGTGCCCAGATTTGATTGTACGGTAAAGAACCCCAGGAGGTCAAAATTTTCGGAGCCCTCCGCTACGGCGTCTCTCATAATTATATCAAGGTTTTGGGACGTTAAACCCAACATAAGAAGCATCAATCAAACTTGGTATCACATGACGTAAATAGATGACGTAGGTAAATGACACGTCCAATAATCATGACCATGACATGTAAAGCATAACTACATGCTATGCTCATAGCGTGCTCACGACAGTTTCGCTAGCTCCACATATTCAAAATTTGGTATCACGTGATGCGAATAGATAAAGAAAGTAAATCACACGTACAAAAATGATAACATTGACATGTACCTCATGTACGGCATGATTTACGTCCACCTCATAACATTGTGCTGATTTTAAAGCGACATATCAATCTTCCTCATTCATGTTTCGCATATCATCAATTCCCACTGGACGTGAGGTTTGCCATTTTGTTTTGTTTTCGTTTTTTTTTTGCCTGCGTTGCGGCGAAGGACCACAGCATGGAACAGCGAGCAGCCCGGAAGTGGTACGCCCTCAGAAATGCTCGTGTGCACTGAACAAAATCCTTGTTTGAGTTAAATGTAGTCGCGCAGGGCCCATTAATGTTGTTAGCTGTCCAATTCGGCACGGTGAAGTGAGATAGCGCGATGGGAGTTGTGAAAATTATGCTGTCCCGAGGTGTTATATTGGTGACTGGTGTTTATAGTGACACGATATCAGTTTGAAAGCTGGCGTTGAGATATGGTTTTAATGCTAGTGGCAAATTACAGAAACTATGGCAGCCGACCTTCAGCCACGGCTAGCAACAGAAGTCGACCATTAGTTAATAAATTTCGCGAAGATTCTCGTTAAAGTATGCCACATTTATTAGTAATATTACCGCTGTTGTTTCGAAAGAACTTGGGGGAAGCCTCGATCGTCGATGTAATAGGAACCAGGAAACAAAATAAAAATTTTACGGAATGCATCACCGCCGACAAATACGGTCTTATCATAGAGGAGGCACGTTTTCGTTTTACGCAATAAACTTCGCAATTGGGGACCCCGGTGAGTTAACGATTGCTCTGGATCACGCGAGGAAAAATTAAGAGACGCAGAATAAATGGCAGATGGGGGAGATGGGTTGAATTGATGAAGATGCCTGAAGGTGTTTACTCACGCAAGACTCGTGTCTTGCTTTCGAAGTTTGCTGGTAAGATGAAGAGAGTTACGAACACCGAAAGCTGTTAAACACACGAGGGTACTACATGCATCGTTTCTTTGAAAAGTGTTTTCTTAGCCTTACAAAAACACCAGCACAGCCCTCCGCGCCCCTTTGCACAGTAGGAAGCATCAAACATTCAATATTCATAATAAAAAAAAACAGAGTAATGTAAGTACTCGGAAAGGAAGTTCGCACTTTTGTTGAATGACGTTACGAAATATTTTGATTAGTGGTTAAAGCATGCTTGCGTGACTGTCGCACGCGTAGACTGAAAGCGCGTACGTGGATAATAACCAGCAAATCCCGCTTATTTAAATATGCTTAGAACTTTTTAATGAAGAGTTAATCACAGAACTTCAAATTTTGTGCTTAGAGTAAATTATAGCGAACAGCCCAATTACAAGCTCTAAGAAAAACAGCAAAGAGCTGGTTACAACATACGCGTATTGACAACAGCAGACGTAGCTATTGCGAGTTTTTCTTACCGCTGTAGTCTTCGTTCGAATAAATTATAAAAAAGAAATACCGAACTGCGCTCGACAACTGTACATGGTGGGGCTGCAGTACACTTCGCAAGATTTGGCGCGTCTGATGGCGAATTTCCCGTTAATAAGATATTTATAGCATAGTGCTACGGGTTATGCATATTTTAGAGTGAGTTTAAAGCTGAATAAAGTTTTCAAGTTAGATCGACAGGGAATAGCAAAGCGAAAACTCAACGGGTCCCTTAAGCATTCGCCTAAAAAAAACGAAGACGATAAATGTTTTTTTTTTGTCATCACAATCAATATTTTGACTAGTCGATCCATAGTGATCAGTCGACCGGTTGACTGATCGGTCGCTGTGTCACCACGATCAGTACGAAAAATTGTAACCTTTGTAGGGCGGCTGCCGTAAGTGGCTGATGGGCTGCTGGTTAGGTTGATCAAAAGACCATAGTAGTATCTTGAATGTTCTTATGACCTGTTTGCAGCCAGTGTTCAGCCACCGTGAGCTCTCACCTAACCAAGCACGCCGTTTTTAGTCTAACAGCACCGACATGCAAAAATGGGTGATAATGATGTATGGTTGTTGTAAACAAGAACGCCAAACTAAAAAAATAATAATCGCTACAGTAAATTAATCGCTGCAGTGATGAAGGAATGGGGGCTTGAACGTCCTCTTCCCTTAAAACAAGACCGAGCATTGCAAGCGCATAAACTTGGCACCCACCACTTCAATTAGCTGAGAGAGCTTGAGCTTGATTCGTACTGTGAGCGCATCCGTGTCGTTGACCACGGGCCGGACCAGCTTGTTGTATCGGGATATGAGGTCGTCGTACAGCCGCTTGGCGTCCGGGCTTCCACGGACACCTGTCAGATGAGTGGGTGGAAGAGAAAAAAGAAAAATATAAGGCACATCACTGCAGTAAGGGGGGTAGTTGGTGATTGATTACCCTCCACCGCCCAGTTTTAGGAGCGAAGCTCCTCTCAGTCTGACCTTGTCCCGCGTCAGGCGTAACCGGCAGTATCTCCCGAACAATAAAATAGATGGCGCTGTCTTATAGAAGTGCATAAAAACTGCAGTTGAGTGAGGATATTCTGGACGGTGCTGAACCGCTGCTCCACGATTGGCTGCTGCGCGGGCTGTGCCTGGGTGCGTGGGGCACAGAGTAACATAAGAATTCAGAGAGGTCACTCTGGCCAAAAGCGGAGGCGCTACGTAGCTTTACGCCGGCCGTAAGATGGCAACACATCACTCACTGCTTTCAAGGAAACGCACTTCCTAGTTATTTACTACAGTGACTTTTCTAGTGCATTATTAGTGTACGCGTCCTTGCGACTGCGATGGTGTCTTTCACAAGCTCACATTGCGGCTCTGAATTCGTCTTCATCACCTGCAACTGTATGAAGCGTTATCGTCGGACCGGATCTGGCATGAATTCGGTGCCAGAGAAGTCAATATGGTCTCGACGCGACGACGACGTTGTTGCGCTCCGTGTTCATGGGCATTTAGGGCAGTGAAGAAGTACGGACAGCAGCAGGGAGACACGATAAGAGTACGTGCGATAACGTGCCTGGCGTGCGTCGTGGTCCTCGCTTGTTTCGTCTGCCTCTCAGCTTGGCTGCTGCGAAGTACGAACCCCGTCAACACTTTGTAAAGTGCGTATTGCATTTGTTATTGAAGCCTTAACTTAAAATTCCTCGCGTTGTGCTGTTTAGCGCACAGATGTTTTTTGTGCTCATCACTTCGCGTACTATTTCCATGCATTGTTTCACACTAAAAAAAAAAAATCTGTTTGAAATGCTGTGCAACGCGTTTCCGAGAAAATTATTTCTTCGCTTAAGAAAGTGAGTCACCGCTCGCGTCGTTAGGTTTTCTTTGCGCCGCTACATGTATTCCAAGTTACTGCATGAGTGACATTTTGTGAAAAGTGTAGCTATGCTTAGTCTCGTTATTTAGAGCATTCGCGAATTGCTTAAAGCTCTTACAAGCGCAATAAGAGAAAAGTGGTAAATCTAGAAAATTGTTTGTTAGCTAAAGCTACGACGTAACCTTTTAGTAAACACTCCTGCCTCGTTTTTCTTCCTCCTCCTCTTCCTCCTCCTGGCTCGTCAATGGCTTGTATTACACCTAAAACGCTTTGTTTTTGCTGTGACAACTGTTCGTGGCTGTTTTCCGCCAAAGAGCGATGTAAAGTATGTAGGAGAAAATTAGTGCGAAGGTGGGAGAGAAAACGTACACAAAACTTTTCTTTTCTCGGTTCATGCTGAAATCAAGCGCTGGGACAACTACTTCCTTGCGAACGAGCATGTTGATAATCTGCTTGCGCTAAGCCCTGTGAAAAGCTCGTCAGACGTTCGAAGGCTTCATCTGCTGCACGATAGTGTGCAATTCCACGTTAGTGCCTTGGAAGGTCTAGGAGTTGCGCCTGACCAGTACACTGTGGTCTTAAAGCGTGTCCTAATGTAATGTCTGCGGGAGAATCTCGCCATTATGTACAGACAGACCTCCAAAAAATCGAACTGCACCTCCAGCATCCCTGAAATGCCTGAAGACCGAACGCGGCTAGCCAAAGATTTACTAACGTTTCTCCGCATTCAAGTAGAAATCCGGGAGGAGGGCCGGTTACAGTCTCATCGTGTGTCGCAAGACGAAGCCAGAACCCACATATCCGAAGAAACGTACGGCACAGAAATCATACCGTCAGCGTCCGCCCTAACGGGGTCTACCTCGCCTGTTAGACTGGCGTGTCAACTCTGCCACAGCAAGGACCACGCGATCGCTGCTTCCAATGCCAACCTATCGGCTGTAGAGAAGCGGGCAAGGCTACAGTACACCGATTGTTGCTTCCGCTGTGGAACATGAAACCACATCGCTAGAATGTGCAGGAAGTCATTCAATCTTAGGTGTGGTACCTGCCAGTGACGACACCTGACCATCCTCTGCGAGTTATCGCGCCGAGCCGAAGATCCACACCCCAACGCAGGATCCCCAGCCTTCTCTCAATCACCCCCAGTAACCACGCGAACGGTCACTACCACCCAGAGTCACGTTGCGTCCACTCGCGTATTGCTACAGACAGGTTGAACTTGGCCAGAGTCTGGAGACCACCGACTTCTCGTGCGGGTACCGCTGGGCAGCGGCAATCAGGGCAGTGGCAGTCAGCGCACCTACATTCGTGGAGACCTGGCAAGGATTCTTCAGTGCTCCGTCATGGGAAAAGAGCTCTCCCTTGTCCCTTTTGGAGGATCCAAGTCACGAAGGCAACTCTGCACTGAGCGTGTCAACGTGCGGCTTCGAAACCAGTTCAACGATTCAGCGATTACCCTAGAAGCGTTAATGATTCCTGAAATTTGCTCTGTCACAAGCCCACCACTCGACTCGAACATTTCGCACCTACTTCTCGAACGGGAGTACAACGGAGCTGATCACTTTCGACAGAATACGGGGCGACCGGACGAGATCAGTGTCCTCAAATGATCGGACGCCTATTGGCAAGTCACAAGTGACAAAATTCATCGCATCAGTGCCAGTATAACCGTGATTGAAATTACTTTCGAATGGATGGTGCAAGGCCCTATAATGTCTGACAGCCAATTCTCAACAAGTTCACTGTTCGTCACGACTTATAATTATGACGTATCGTCAATGTGGCGTCTCAGTGCAATTGGGCGTGGCGCCACCTGTTTCCGTATCACGGAAGTGACCCCCACATGTCTGCATTTAAGCCGGGCATCTCCAAGCAATATGGCCGTTATCAAGTGCCTCTGATGGTCGAACCGCCCGGGTTACCATCTGCAAGCAACAATCACCGACCGGCCGAACGTCGACTGCGGATTCAAATTAACCGTTCTCCAGAGCAGCCATCACTACTAGAAAAATACGACCAAGCGATTTCAGCTTAGTTCAATGATGGTCATGCAGAAAAGACCCTGGACGAGCAGCTACTCAAGGCCAGCATCTTCCCTATGCCCCATCACGCCGTGGTTCATCGTGAAGCTGTACCAACGAAGCTTCGCGTGGTATTTGACGCATCATCGCATGAAACTGGTCATGTTTGCCTTAACGATGTACTCTCAAAATGCATAAAACTTGGGGCAGACGTCATCCAACTCCTATTAAACTTTCGCTGCCACCCTGTGGTTCTCGCTGCTGATATAAAGAAAGCATATCTGCAGCTTCTCATTCGGCCTGAAGACCGACACCTGTTACGCTTTCCCTGGCTGAAAAGATTACCGACTAAGCGAGAGCCCATGCTACCCCCAACAATGTGGAGAATGACGAGAGTTCCGTTCGGAGCCGCATCTAGCCCATTCCTTTTGGCCGCTACAATTCTACACTACTTATCGTCTTGTAAGCAGTAATACCCAACTACAGTAGCCCTGTTAGAACAGGCCTTCTATGTGGACGACCTTCTAGTAGGACTACCAATCACGCAGGAGGCATTGTAGCTGTATGAAGAAACAAAGCAGATATTCAGGGAGGCCAGCATGGAGCTCCGCAAATGGGCTTCTAATTGTGACAGCTTGAAGGAGCAATTACTCCGCGATAAATGTGCTATTGAAGATGAAGCAGGCGACCGTCACACGATTAAGATTCTTGGAGTTCCTTGGGAACGCTCTGGTGACAGCTTCCTCCTCACAACTGAACATGCTGCTACTTTCGCATCTGGGAAGCCTGCGACCAGACGCGTGGCACTGCAAACGTTGGTCCAGAATTTACGACCCTTTGGGATACCTCAGCCCATGTACTGTAAAGGCCAAGATTGTATTCGAAGATCTTTGGAAAAAGAGCATTGCATGGGACGCCATCATGCCAGACAAAGAGCAAGTCAAGTGGAACAGCTGGTGCTCTAGAGCTGAATGGCAAAACGTGTGTCCGCATCCCCCGATAGGTGTTTCTGAGAGACGACGTCAAGCCTTTCACAATCTAACTGCATACTTTCACTGATACCTGTCCAAGAACGTATGGCACATGCATCTACGGCTGTATATGATCTGAATCTGGCACTTGCTTCACACGCCTGTTAATCAGCAAGGGCAGCTTGCTCCGATCAAGATCGTGTCACTTCCGTGCCTGGAGCTCCTCCCGTGCGTCATCGCAACGCGGCTAAGCTGCTACGTAAAAACGTGCGGTTTCTTCAACGCGCTCCAGGGTTTTTTCTGGACAGATTTGCTGGTGGCACTCCGCTGGATAAGGGGTTCATCAACCAAACTAGACCCCTTTGTAGCACATCGGGTTGCTTAGATACAACAATTCACCAATCTATCACAATGGTTTCATTGTAGCAGCAAGGACAATCCCACTTACGTTATTACTCGTGAAGCATCACATACTAGTCTAATCGAATCTAATACGTGGTGGCACGGCCGAACTTGGCTGTTTGGCCAGGCAAAACAATTTGAAGGTGCGAACAACTCCAAGAATTGCACCACAACGACAGAGATCTCGTTGGAGGAATCGAGCGATTTTCATGGACAAGTACGTCCGTTTGTCCATCGTGTGTTTTCGTCCGTCAATGCATCTTGCGCGTAGAAGACTACAGCTCTATTACGAGACTGCTACGAGTCACCGCATGAATGAAGCGCTTCGTCCGTAGTGCTCCGTTACGCCTACGATAAGTATCCGGACCTATCACGGTGGAAGAGTTATTACAGGCTGAGAATTATTGGCTACAGACCATTCAAGAACAATTCTTTTCCAACGAAGTTTTTGTGCTGCGCAAGGGTCAGCCGTTACCCTTAACATCTCATGTTCTTCGCCTATGTCCGTTTATGGATAATGACGGCCTTTTTCGCGTCGGTGGACGACTGGACAAGCTTTGTGCTAATCACGACATACGCCATCCCATTCTCCTGGCAGATAATCTCACCAGCCTTACCGTATCAGCGGAACATGTGCGCACTATCCACGAAGGTG